TTTAATTTAATAAATTAAACTAATAAATAAATAATCACGGCCATAGGCAATAGAGTGAAAGAGGAAGAGATAACTTTTGTTATTGTATTTTTGTTAATTTAATAAATAAATAAAATTAATAAAATAAATTAGATAAATAAACAATCAAGTGAGAGAGTAAATATATATAAGGGCAAATTTCTTTAACTACCCCTAAGGTTTAGGAAATTAACTAATTATACCCCTATTGTTTTAATATTGTCTTAAAGTACCTTTATTGTTTCTAACAATTGTCGCACAACTCCCTTCTCGTTAAGTCTCCATCACAGACCATTTACACGAGATTTAACGTATTTGATTTAATTTTAAATTATACCCAAAATACCCTTTTCTACAAAAGATAATTGTCTTCTCTCTCTCTCTCTCTCTCTCTCTCTACTCCCAATGATAATGGAAACACTTATCTAGTTCCACTCCTGGACCGATGCACACAACAACCTCCACTTGCAACATGGCAATGCCTGTATTTCCCATGGTTACTCGTTTTTCTCTCTCTTTGGTGCACCCACTGATCAATGATCATGTTTTCCTTATCACTACAAGCCATAGAGGATATCATGAAATTCTGGCCTTCAAAGCTCGTTATTTGGGAGAAAATATCCAGAGAGAGAATGATCACCATCATTGAAAGCAACACCTGAAAACAAGCAATGGTACTCGACCAACCACTATGGGACGAAGAAATCGAGCCTGTGAAAAAGAGAGAACGAGAGATAGGGAGACATTGCCAAATCCGCGAGAAAGAGAGAACGAGAATGAGAGAGAGGTTGTTATCAAATTTGTCGCTGCAAGCGGTAGTGGTGGAACAAGGGAAGTGAAAGAGTAAGGGAGAGAGAAAGAGTAGGAAAGAGAACTGTCACCGTTTAAAGGAGCTCAGATCAAATCATCGTTGCTAGTTTGCCATAATAGAATTAAACCATAGCCATTCTATCAACAATATTCAGTACGATGAATTGATCTAAGAGGTAAAATAAAGAAAGAGACAATTGGTTAAAAAGAAAGAAATCGCATAATTTATTATGAAATTTGAGGGTAAAATAGGTTTTAATCTCTAAAGAGAAAACAATAACCTAAACCTAAATCTGGATTGGTACTAAGAGGTACCTGGGCTGAGTCAACCTTTCCCTTTACTCCCAACTCTAGATGCCGATAAAACTCTAGGAGAAAGAAAACCTGAACACACAGATTGAGAGAAGGGATTACTTGAGGAGAATATGATCTGAGAACGATATGCACGAAAGAACGAATGGTCAATGTTTACTCTGACTTGTGGTTAATGAATGGATGGAATCAACCTCCGAACCAGACGGCTGATGTTGTGATGGACTTCGATTCGATATGATCAGATAGTGGTCGATTTCAGTCTTTCGAGCACCAGTGACGGGTTTTTCGGTAAACAACGGAGATTGAGAAGGGG